AAACACGGCTTTGTCGGCATGCTTGGGAGTATTGATTGCACGCATTGGGAATGGAAAAATTGTCCCACTGCGTGGCACGGTCAATTCTCCCGGGGAGATCATCCCAAGCCTACCATCATGCTCGAAGCTGTTGCTTCGAATGACTTGTGGATTTGGCATGCTTTTTTCGGTGTCGCGGGCTCGAATAACGACATCAACGTTCTCGATCAATCCCCTGTTTTTGATGATTGGGTTAATGAGACCGCACCGGACTCCTCTTTTGAGCTTAGAGGGACGCTTTACAATCGTGGATATTATTTGGCTGATGGAATATATCCGGATTATTCCACGATTGTCAAATCTCTCTCCGAACCAATGGGTCTTAAACGCCAAACCTACAAAAAAGCTCAAGAGGCGGCGAGAAAAGATATTGAACGAGCCTTTGGGGTCTTGAAGGCTAAGTGGCACATTCTAGATCGTCCGTCGAAATGGTATTCTCAGACAAAAATGAGGAATATCATGTACGCATGTATTATTCTTCATAATATGATCATAGAGGATAACGGGCCTGCGATTTGTCAATACAACTCGGACGAGGAGGTGCCTATGTACGAAGAAATCACCGAAGAAAAGAAGCGACGCAACCGCCAAGAAATTCGAAGCCGAGAGATTCACAATGCACTAACGGCGGATTTGATCGAGCATATCTTTAGTCGTTCGAATAATTAGTGATTTCTTTGTACTGTTGTTTTTTTTATGTAATTTTTTTAATGTTTTTTTTTATGAATGTAAGATTTTTTTTATAATGAATTTAATTTTTTATGCAATAGTGTCACTGCGATTAATTAAAATAATAAATTAATTTAAATTTATAAATTTAAATTTGGAAGATGTATATTTAAAAGTGTAAAAAATGAAGGTTTGAAGCCCCATTTTGAAGCCCCGGGGCTTCAAAACCATTTCCAGTGAATTTTGGGTGTAAGTTAAAGCTGACGTGGCAGAGAGAGAAAGTTTGAAGCCCCGGGGCTTCATGACCATTACCAGTGCTCTTAGTGTTAGTCAAAATAAACTATTACTGACAGAAAAAAATGTTTTACTCACATAATTTTTTGTAGGTAATCCAAATTTTAGCGACAGTTATAATAAATGTTAATGTTTGTAAAAATAAGGTATTCCCGAGAGGAAATATGTTTTACCCAAACTATTTTTTTCGGTATTCCATGTTTTAGCGATATATATGTTTTGTCGGCACTTCTCTCTTTTTTAGCGACATCTTTGGTCTGTCGCTATTACACTATATTTCATCTGTCGGTAATACTTTTACTGATGGAGTTTTAGAGACAACATAGCAACAGACAATTATCTATCGGTAAAAGCGAGTAGCGACAGATATTCATGTATCAAAGGCACATCAAAATTAAATGATCAAAATATAAACAATATGCAGTTTTTGGATTGAACAGAAATACTTCCTTTATCTATGTTAAGCGCAAACAATCATATCATAAGACACATATGATGAAGCGACTTAAGATAAGCTCAAATATTTACACTATATTGGTTCAAGGATGTTGAGAGAAAAGAAAAGGATTAAATTGGGAATATAAATAAACAACACTAATCTCTTATGATTAATCGTTTTGTTTTGGAAAAAGAAAGAACTTTGTGGACAAGAAAAAAGAAAGGAGTTTGTGGGACGGAGAGAGTACATAATTCGTGTGTACTCAATCGCATATTTAATCCTATGGTGTCTTCCCGGTTCACTAATTTTTAATCACTAATTTTTAATCAAAGTAAGTAGTTAAGGGGATTTTTTGTGATGGCCTTGGCTAATAGGAGATCTAGAAGTCTAATTAAAACATCTCTCCTAACAAATAGAAGTTTTTAAAATGGCTTCCTACTTTGATAAAAGAGTAGCCAACATCTTAAAACTAAAGAACTTATTTGGGTAAATACCCAATTGGAAAAAGTCCGTTTCTCAAAATGGTTTCTCTTTTGACTTTGGGGAAAAATAAGGAAGTGTTAAATTGTAATTGACTTTCCAATTTTATCCTTGATGTGATGGGTAAAAGTAAGATGTGATAGTTTAGTTGTTAGTGAAAAAGTATGATGTGATAGGTAGGGTATGAAAAAGTAGGGGTAAAAGTGGTTTTTTAATAGAAAAAGCAAGTGTTTTAAGAAAAACAAAAAAATGAAAGAGGAAGAGTTTTAAGAAACGGAGGGAGTATAGTTTAAAGTATGAAAAATTTATATAAGAATGAAGACAAATTCTATGGTGGACTTAAGATCCACCATGAACTAGCATATGAGCTAAATAAGCATTTCTTTACTACTTAGATAAGTATCCGTTTTATTTTTATACAGAATAAAAAAAACTATTTTTTATGTGATAAGATTCACAAAAATAGTATGTA